TATAATTTATATATTTAAATATAATATTTATTTATACATATAATTTATTTTAAATTTTTGTTATATATAATAAATATTTAAAATATACATTGTATAAGTTAAAATACTAATTTATATAAAGAGTCACGGATAACATTATGATTAATATTTTCTTTTAAAATAATATTAAATTCAAATAAAAAGAATACATTGTTAAAAATAGGAGATTTAATTTTTTTTATTTAAAAATCTCTCTCTCAAGAAACCTTATTCGATATAATTATTTAAATTTAATATATATATAGAATGATTTAGTTTCTTTTATAATAATTTGATCTTTAAGATGATTTTTTTTAGAGTTTAAGATGATATATTAAATATGTATAAAATAAAAAAATATTTTCTCTTATATTATCTTTTATCCACATAAATAAAATAAAGATAAATGTTATCATAATTACTAACACACTTTGATTAATTAGTTAAATTTTATTAAAAATTACAAAATTTTATGAAATCCTCCAGGTCTTTCTTATAATGTCTCTTTCATGAGTTTTGATTTTCAATAAAGAGTTTTTATAATAAAAAAATTAAACAAATAAATCCTATAACGGATTTAATTACTATAATTAATAGAATGAAATTCGTTAAGTGAAAATTGAGACGCATGTTATTTAATAATCTTAAAAAAAAAATATTAAAAGTGTTACGAAAATACAATATAAAATACAATAAAATAAATAAAGGGAGCATCATTTGATTGAAACTTGCTTGACTTGATTTACAGAGGAAGCATCATTTGTTGACGATTAAGGTTTCTTATCACTGATTTTGGGTTTCTGGTGGTCTTGTTCAGGGTCCCAGTATCAAATATTTTTGTTTGGTTTAAATGAATATAAAAATTTACGTAATTAAATTGTATAAAAAAATATTATAAAAACAAATTAATAAATAACAATTAATAATTGATAGGTGATATTTTTATTTCTCAAAAAATATCTACTTCTAATTTAAAAAAAATAATAAATCGATGATGTTAAATATTATAAAAAAAAGTGATAGATATTATTTAAAAAGTTTTTCCTATAAAAATGCTGAATTGTATATTCAATAAATCATTTTTTTTCCAAATATTTAACACAATTGTACTACTTATAAATTTAATAATATACCGATTTATCGACATACTTTCAGCAATACTTTATTTAAATATACTTTAATTCATTCAGAGGCATGCGCTTAATATTTATATTTAAAAAGAATTGTTAAAGAAATGGTAGATGAATATCATAATTATGAGTGACCTTTTGAATAGGTTATTGTCAATTTTTATATATTTAATTTTCTTCTCTTAGTAAGTGATTTTCCATCTTTTGATTAATATTACAAACTTTCATAACTGATCTAGATCCTTTATTTAACTATAAGGATGTAATCACCCACAACCACAAAGAAATTGGAACTACTCTTTGATACACACAAGATGTTATTTCTTTTAACTTTTATTATTTTATTTATTTTTAAATAAATATATAGAGTCACAAAATTCCTCTAATTAATAACAATAGTAATTAGTGAAAATAAAATGAATCATAAATACCAAAAATCATAGATATAAAAAGTTTCACCTATTTTTTAATATGTGAAAATCAAACCTAATATCAAGAAATTTATAACACTCACATATTATATTCAACCAATTAAACTAAGTACTCTAGATTGAGATTCGATATTTATGTTTCTTAACTAAATATTGAAATTTGATCAATAACTTAAATATGAAATGAAAATTAAAAATATACACTTTATTAAGTCAAAGGTAAAAAAAAAGGAGATTAGACAATTATTTTAGTGGTTTAGTGGCCTTAGTTTCTTGCCACTATGTTAACGGACCAAACAAAGGGTTATGGCATGTAGGAAGTTTTTATTTTTTAATAATTAAAGGCGGTTAAATTAGAAACTATTAAACATCAAGTGAGATATAAATAACGGTGACAAAACATGGTAACGGTATATTTCACATAACATAACTTATAAAATATATACATAAATTCTCAAAACGAGCTTAACTTGCAAGTTAGTTAAAAGAGAAAAATAGAGTAAAGAAATAGATATCTTAGAAAGAAAAAAGAAGATAGAATTGAAGAAATGGCATTGTGGTTCTATATTCTTGCAACCATTTGTCTATGTATATCTTTTCAAGCACTTCTCAAAGTAAACCGCAACAAAAGGTTACCACCAAGCCCTCCTACCATACCCATCATAGGTAACATATTTTGGCTCCTTAAGTCATCAAAAATTTTTGCTGATCTTGAACCCGTTCTTCGCTCTCTACGTTCAAAGTACGGTAACATTGTTACCATCCACATTGGATCTACCCCTTCAATTTTCATAACATGTCATGAAGCTGCTCATAGAACACTTGTTAAAAATGGCACTGTATTTGTTGGTCGTCCTCAGCCCTATGCCGCCCCTCACTGCTCATGTCCCCAAGAAGCATTAAGCACTCTTGACACATCTCCACACTAGCATGAGCACCAATGATGGCACTCCATGAAGCCACACTCCTTTCATCCATTTGCTCAAACACAGCATAAGCATGCTTTATTGCCCCACACTTGCCATACATGCTGATCAAGCTGTTTTGCACAAAGGTATCACCATCAAGACCAGCCTTAAAAATATGGCCATGAATTTGCACTCCTTCCTTGAGAGCACCTAATAGAGAACATGCCTTGAATACAAACGGGTTGCATACTATTCTATGTTTAGCTTAGCATGCTGGTTTAGCATGGTGTTGGTGGAAGGATGAGTGGGACATCGGTCCTTAGCCAAACCCATCTTTTGTCACTGCCAAATAATCCACCTCAAAGCTCTGAATTGAATTCAAAGTTCAATGATAAGGGATGGTTGTCTTTGCTTAAGAGATGCAAGAGCATGGAAGAGTTTAAGCAAGTTCATGCCCAAATTCTAAAATTGGGCCTTTTCTTGGATTCTTTCTGTGGTAGCAATCTTGTTGCCACTTGTGCTCTTTCAAAATGGGGCAGCATGGAGTATGCTTGCTCTATCTTTAGGCAAATTGAGGAACCGGGTAGCTTTGAGTACAACACCATGATTAGAGGACGTGTCAATAACATGAATCTAGAAGAAACCTTGTTTCTTTATGTTGAAATGCTTGAAAGAGGCATTGAACCTGACAAGTTCACCTACCCGTTTGTATTCAAGGCATGTTCTCTATTAGGTGCTCTCAAGGAAGGAGTGCAAATTCATGGCCACATTTTTAAGGCTGGTCTTGATGGTGATACCTTTGTGCAAAACAGCTTGATCAGCATGTATGGCAAGTGTGGGGCAATAAAGCATGCTTATGCTGTGTTTGAGCAAATGGATGAAAGGAGTGTGGCTTCATGGAGTGCCATCATTGGTGCTTTGCACAAAGGTATCACCATCAAGACCAGCCTTAAAAATGTGGCCATGAATTTGCACTCCTTCCTTGAGAGCACCTAATAGAGAACATGCCTTGAATACAAACGGGTAGGTGAACTTGTCAGGTTCAATGCCTCTTTCAAGCATTTCAACATAAAGAAACAAGGTTTCTTCTAGATTCATGTTATTGACACGTCCTCTAATCATGGTGTTGTACTCAAAGCTACCCGGTTCCTCAATTTGCCTAAAGATAGAGCAAGCATACTCCATGCTGCCCCATTTTGAAAGAGCACAAGTGGCAACAAGATTGCTACCACAGAAAGAATCCAAGAAAAGGCCCAATTTTAGAATTTGGGCATGAACTTGCTTAAACTCTTCCATGCACTTGCATCTCTTAAGCAAAGACAACCATCCCTTATCATTGAACTTTGAATTCAATTCAGAGCTTTGAGGTGGATTATTTGGCAGTGACAAAAGATGGGTTTGGCTAAGGACCGATGTCCCACTCATCCTTCCACCAACACCATGTTAAACCAGCATGCTAAGCTAAACATAGAATAGTATGCAACCCATTATTCAGTCCAGAATATACAAGTGCTGAAAGTTTGAATACAAATAAGAATTAAGTCAAAATTTGAATATAGAAACTGAGAAGAGATAGCTATGCACCAGAAAAGGATGAACACTATGGTCCATGATGCAAGGAAATTCGATCAGATGACTGCAGAGTATTTGACAAGTGTGTATGAAGCTGGGGTGTAGTGAACCCAGTTCGTGAAACTATGAGAAGCATTGGTGTGGTTTTGGGGGTTGACAGCGAAATTTTTTTTTTCTTTTTTCTTTTTCAGAGGGCTTTTCAGAAAGAAAGAAAAATGGTAATTTTGAGAGGATTTGAATGTGATCCATGAAATTTGAGAGAGCATTTGCGGCCACAATCACCCAAGTTTTCTTCCCTAACCAATACACTGTTACTACTTCTCCATATGGCTCCAATTGGCGAATGTTGCGCCAAAACTTAATGCAAATAATTCAACCTTCTAAGTTAAAGTTATATTCCCATTGTCGTAAGTGAACATTTGATGTATTAAAGAAACATATTTTAGATGAAATTGAGTCGGGCAATAAGGAGATTACAATTAATGGTTATTTGAATTACACATTGTATGCTTTATTTTCATATATATGTTTTGGAGAGAAATTTGATGAGAAAACCATTAGGGATATTCAAAGGGTACAACACGGTTTTGTTCACAATTTCATTATAGGTTCAACGTGCTGAATTTCGTGCCGCTCTTGTCTAAGATTGTGTTTAGAAGACTGTGGAGAGAGATCTTGGAAATTCGTGAAAATCAGGTGAATGTGTTACTCCCTATCATAAAAGCACGCCACGAGAAAATGAAAAGCAAGGTTGGTATGGAAGATGAAAATGAAGAGGAGTTCAAGGCTTATGTGGATACCCTTTTTGATATGAAGCTTCCAAGCAATGGAAGAAAGCTAACGGATGAAGAGTTGGTGAGTGTGTGTGCTGAGTTTATGTTAGGTGGCACGGACACAACAGTTACCACTTGGGAATGGACCATGGCGAATTTGGTGAAGTACCAACGCCATACAAGAGAAACTGTTTGAGGAAATTAAGGAAGTTGTCAAACCGGATGAAGACATTGAGGAGGAACATTTGAAGAGGATGCCTTATTTAAAGGCTGTGGTGTTAGAGACTTTAAGGAGACACCCTCCGGGGCATTTTATATTGCCTAGGGAAGTTACACAGGACACTGTTATGGATGGTTATCATATACCAAAAAATGCAATTGTGAATTTTCTTGTAGCAAAATTTGGGTGGGATCCAAATGTGTGTGGGAAGATCCTATGGAGTTTAAGCCTGAGAGGTTTTTGAGGCATGATAAAGGTGATGCTAAGTTTGATCTGAAAGGGACTATAGATATTAAAATGATGCCTTTTGGTGCAGGAAGGAGAGTTTGTCCTGCAATTAGTATGGCAACTCTTCACCTTGAGTATTTTGTGGCCAATTTGGTGAGGGATTTTAAGTGGACACTTGAAGAGGGGTGTGAGGTTGACATGAGTGAGAAGCAGGTCTTCTCTATTGTGATGAAGAATCCTTTGAGGCCATGTGTGTCTCCAAGAATTAATCACTTGAAGACAAGTATATAGAAGCTTTCTAATTTTGCATTAGGGGTGCTAGGATTCCACAATCCCTATAGAAAAAGAAAAGAAAAATATTCTTTTTTGTAATTTTGATGGATCAATTGTAAAACCCTTTTATACTATTCATAATGTAAACTTGTAGAAGCGAATAATAATATCTATATGAAAGCTGTCATAAACATAAGAATAAAGTTAGAGTAGAAGGAATTGCATAGGCATTATTTATAGAAATATACAAGAAGTTCATCCTTAATTATTCTTTTTCTTTATTAAAGGATTTATCAGATTTTCTTTGTTACTTGTTCTTCCACTTTATTATTCCTTTTCAAGCTTCTTACTTAATACATCTACTAATAGAGGTAATAATATATGAAGGGGTTTTGTTGACCAGACAATATATTGATACATGACAAATAGAGGTTCCCATCCCAAGTGACTGCATAATCTTAACTTGCAGAACTATTATTTCTGCCAATCCATCCTTGATATGGGTGTTATGGTAATGAGTTTATCTGTATGTGTCATGGTGTATGTCCAAATTATTTCATAATGTGTTCATGTATTGTTACCATTTTGAATATAAAAGTTATATGGTTGATTGCGGGTGGAATAAACACGAACATGCATTGCACTTGAGATAATTTGTCTGCATCCAGTTTTTTGGTATCATATTTAAACCAAAGTAGTTCTTATAGCAGCTTTATGATTTTGTCTATATATCTTCTGAAGCATTGAGAAATAGAGGTCTAGTTGTATATCCATCCAACAAAACCTCAAATTTCCATGTGAGTAATAGTGAATTAATAATTAAATACTAACATATTTGTCATATAATTTTCAGCAAGTGGCTGGATGCTGGTCCATTCTGCTTAGAAATATTTATCCTACACGAAATTATCCTAATCTACATCGAATATTCGAATGTTATGGTACAAGCCGAACAATATAATTTTAGCCATTTATGTTTTATTTGCAGGAGCAAGATGAGGGACATCAAGATCAAGCATTTTGATAACAATGTTAAGAAGGTCTTTGTCTCTTGTCAATCAGGTACGAACATAGGCATAATTTTATCTGTATAGTAGAAAACTAATCACAAATATGATGCTAAGATAAAATACCTTTATCACTAAATTTTGTCTTTAGCAATGTGTAGTAAACTGTTAAATAGTATGTCGCAGGGCACATGGTTAGTTATAATGTCCGTGAACTGTTAACTATTTTGGTAATGATATTTCTATAGTTCATGGTTGACATTTGTAATTTGTTATATTTTTGTGAAACTTTAGTGAAACAGTAAGATTTCTAAACTAATTTTTTCAATTACATGATTTTATTTATATAATATATTTTTATACATTTTTATCTGTATACAAAATAAAAATACTATTTGTAGGAAATAAAATTTAACTTACTAAATGATGTGCATAAAAAGATTTTAAATTATTTTAAAATTATATTAATATGAATTTTAATTTGGTTTCTTTAAAATATATTTAATAACTTTTTTTATAAAAAAATGTATAGAAAATTTTAAAATACTTGAACACAACTTATTTTAAAAGTAATTAAAGACACAAATTTAGTGACTATTTATAACTATTTATATTTTAAATTGTACACATTATATTATTAAACATTTGATTTTTTAAAATATTTTTATACTAATTTTTAAGTTTTAATTAAGTAACAAATCTCTGTCAAAAATTATTTTTATATTTATTTTAATATTTTTTCTCCTCAAATGAAAACTATTCTCTTAATAATATAGCATTTGAATTTTCTTCTTATTACATTTGTATTGTTACATGCAATATTTTTAAATTAAAAAATTATTATATATTCATTGTTTATTTATTTAACAAAATATCAATGTAACTTAATTTATCTAATATAAAAAACTCCTATAATAACATAACATATATTATTTAATTTAATTATTTTTAGCACATAAAACTTAACTTACTGTATTGTATGCATAAAATAAAAATATAACAGGTAAAAAATGATTAGATGAAATTAATGCTTAACATATAACATAATCCTTAACAAATTTAAAATTATATTAACATGATTTTATTTTCTTCTTTAAAATATGTTTTTTTTACATGTAAAAACAATAATTTAAAATAAGGATTAGATTAAAATCTATAGAATATTCTAACAATTCATTGTAATTTATTAAAAATGATAAATTATGAAAAGAAAATAGGAGATAAACTATTACATATATGTGTATGATACTAATATAAACTTGAATTATTATTTTTATTTTAAAATATGTTTTAGAAACTTTTTAAAATCTTATTTAAATAACAAATTTGTCCGGCTAATATTATATAAGAAAATATTATTTATTTGTACTATAAAATGAATAACATTAAATATTATATTAATACTTTTTTTCAAGACTAATAAACTTATTAAATATTTTAAATGTAATAATGGGAGTTATAAAATGTCGTAGTTATTTTAATTATAAGTTGGTTATTGTGTTAAAAATGTTATTTTATATTGAGAAACTTTAAAATTTAAGAACTTTTTTGGAAGTTTGAGTAGTGTTGAGGTCTCTCTAAATAGAGATCCAGATTAATATCGAGGAAAAAGATATATAAAGTTTCTGTTTTAATTTAAGTTTTATAAGTTTAAATTTTAAAAAATTCTATATTGAGAAAAATTCTATATACAGGAACTCTATTGAAGAAGAACTTTGGTTTTAATATTTTATAATATTCAATACTTTATAGATATTTTTATAATATTCAAAATTTAAAATATATTAATGCATATTTAATGTTTTATAATATTTTTTTTAATAAAAAGCAGTACTTAAAAATAGAATTTTTTTATATATTAAATTTTTCAAAAGCATTTATTATATTTTGGATAGGAATTAAAAGATAAATTATAGTGCATATATATATATTAATATAAATTTGAATTTTTAATTTAATATATGTTTTATAATTTTTTAAAATTAAATAATAATTTTTTCAGAAGAAATCTATTTAATTTTATATAAATATTTCATTAATAACATTAAATGTTACGTCAATTCTTCATGTCGAGTTTATTTGATTACATTAAATATTACATATAGAGTTATATAGATAAATACATATAACTCTTATAAAAAAGATAAATACATATAAACTTATTTTTAAATATTTGATATAGATAATGCTTTTAAAATTATAATTAAATAATGAAATTATATTATATATATATACATTTTATAATAAAGATATTAGTATGAAATATTTACTATTGAAAATAATGATTAATACATTTTTTTAATATAATTTATTTAATATCTAAAATAAATATTTAAATTTGAATAATTTGATTAAATGAGACAAGTTGTTATTATTTCTCTCCATTAAAATAGATTTTTGTCATATTATACAGGAAAAAACCCTATAATAAATTTTACATTAATAATATTAAATGTTACATTAATACTTCTTATCAATTATAGTTTCCTTACTCGTAAAAAAATTAATAATTATTTTCTTTCATATTGTCCAGTTACATAACAAAGAAGAAGAAAGAGAAAGGAATAATATTTTTTCCTGTTTTAATATTCGGATAATACTTACTATTTTACTCTGTTATTCTTTTTTTCCTATTTGACAGTGTAATTTTATTTTTATTTAAAAAAATAAAACTTGAAAAAACAATTATAGATGTTAAGTTTGAGGACTTTAACAGAAGGAAGAGGTTTGAAAAAAAATTGGGGAGAAAAAGTTGGGATAAGTATTATTACAGGCGTCAGTTGAGTGTGGTATGAGCTGTGTGACTGGGTTCTAGTTCTAGAGCAAAGGCGTCGGTCGCACGTACGGTGTGTGGATGTTCTCACGTGCGAAACAGCCTTGCTCCCATTGGGTCCCCTTAATTCCCGAGCATCTATTCACACTCTCACCTCACTCACACGCACACACGCTCACACACTCGCACTCGCTCTCGCTCTCGCTCTCGCTCTCCGGAATCACAGAAATCTCAACGAACACAACGCAAAGCAGTGAGGCTGAGACAGGGTTTTGTTTTCCCGTTTTTCTTCTAATTCCTTTACAGCTCAACCTGCGTTTCTCTCACTCTCGCATCTCAGATCGAAATCCAGGTCAGTGCGTCTGCAATTTTCTCTCGATTTTCCGTGAACTCATATATGCTCCTCGATTTCATCATCGCTATTCCTGCAATTCAGACGCTGCCTTAATTAACTTCGATTTGATGTTTGCGCATTCACTGCTTTTGATTTCAAATGCTGAATTTCTCTTTAGTGTACTCTGTGCCAAGCTTTTCCAGCACTTTACCTAGTGTGCTTCGGTGCTGCTTTCTATTTAGATAGAAACGTGCTCCTGGTTTCAACTGAAAATTATGGAGCTCAGCTCGAAGCATTTGCTCCTTTTGTTGTATATTTTTGGTTTTATTCATATGCATCATCTTAATTAAAATATAGAAAAGTTATTTGTGTTTTTATTTATTCGGTGATGTTATATTATTTAAGTGTAAGCAGCTAATGTGGACCTAATGCACGGATACGATACGTATCCGATACGGCGATACGTCAAATTTTAAAAATATAAGATACGATATGTTTAGGATATGTATTAAAAAAAGAATAAACTAATATATATAAAATAATAATTGTAAATAAATATCATTCAAAAATTAAAATTAAGAATACATTTCTTGCTTTTTAAATTTTAAATATTACAAAAAAATTATAAATCATTTTTTATTGTCAAGAAATAGGAATAGTATTAATTTCATTCTCTCCTTGACTATCATATGTAAATAAGACAGCTTCCATTTCTGGTTCATCAAGAGATAATGACGCCATTTTAAGATTTTCAACACCATCAAAGCTACCCCATGCATCTCCACCAATGTCCCACATTCTAGTACTCCCTTGCATATATTCTTCACTTTTCCTAGACAAGAGTCGCAAATTAGTATGTACATAAACCAAGTCTTCTGCTCTTTTAGGGTTCAACTTATTTCTTTTCAAGGAGTGAATGAAGGAATAAGTACTCCAATTCCTTTCGCAACAAGATGAAGAACTAGGTTGTACAAGAAGCTTTAAAGAAAGCTTTTGAAGGAGAGGGGCAGAAGAACCATGCATTACCCACCAGGATTTAGCATCTAATGTCCATCTATCTTCAATTGAGTCAAAAGAAACAAAATTATGAGTTTTTGATGAAAAATCAGCATATTCAAGAGAAATCTTTATTCTTTCTTCAGTTGTTGTGAAAAGCTTTTTTAAACATTTATTTCTTTCCATAGAAATTTCTTCATCCTCATGTGGGGAAATTCTATTTGGAGCCTCTTGAAGCCATTCATCACTGTAGTACCTGTGAATAAATAAAAAGTTAATAAATAAAAAAATTTAGTAACTATCAAATTATTTATAAATAAATAATGAAAACAAATAAATATTTAATAGGCTAATTTTACCTAGGATTCAAAGAGTGAGCCATGCAGTGGAGAGGGGTGCAACTCTTAGTCCACCTATCAATTAGTATAGAATAAACAACTTCATAAAATGTTGATGTATCATTTAACTCTTTTCCTTCATATCTATATATAGACGTCTTTACTTTTTCTATCATACTATCCCACATCTCATAGACCAAATGAAGCGTGGGACTATCTGTGTCACAAGCTCTAAGCATACTATAAATAGGCTCGGTGAAATTAAGAATATATGTAATTTTGTCCCACCACACATCATTCAAAATAAATTCTTTTGCAGCTTGGGCCTTACCCACATCATCTTCTCTATAAGAGTTCCATTCTTCACTAATAACCATCGATTGCAAAGCACCTTTCAAAAGTTTAAATCTCTTTAACATCACTAGAATAGATGCAAAGCGTGTTTCAGCTATAGCAAGCAATTTTAGAGGTGAAAAGTGATTAAAAATTGTCAATCTCATTGAGTGATTCATGATAAAGTTCCTAACAAAAGAAACATCATCAACAACTTGAGTAATCCAATTACATTCAGCATAAGCTACCTCATTCCTTTCAGTATTTTTGGCAGCACATATATTCTTCAATGCAAGGTTCAATGTGTGAACAACACAAGGAGTCCAAAAAATTTTAGGAAAAGAAATTTCAACAATCATTCCAGCACCTTTGCATACAGGAGCATTATCTGTTATAATTTGAACAACATTTTGTTCTCCTACTTCTTTTATAACTTCTATCATCTTATCAGCCATATAATGTTTGTTTTTAATCTCATCAGAAGCATTAATAGCTTTTAAAAATATTGGACCCCCTTCACTTGTAGCCATAAAATTGATTAAAGGTCTTCTTTGGACGTCTGTCCATCCATCAGATACTATGCTAACACCTTTTGCATTCCAAGTCGATTTAATAGGTTTAAGTAACCTCTCAACTTGTGCCTTCTCTTGTTGTAAGAGAGTTGTCCTCAAGGCATTGTATCTAGGAGGGAGAAAACCATTAAGCATGTGATTTGCAGTAAATGAATAAGAATTCACATAATAGGGATTTCTGGCAAGGTTGAAGAGCAATCCAGAAGAATAAAACATGTATGTGAGATTGAAAATATTAAAATAATAAATTAAATATTAAGAAAGATAATTAAAAAAGATAATTAAAATTAAAATTAAGAAAGATAATTAAAATTAAGAAAGATAATTAAAATTAAAAAAAAAACATGTATGTGAGATTGAAATTTTGTTAGTTTAAAAACTAGAAATTAAAAATCTGTTACAATTTTTAATACATTTTAGAGATGCTAAAAAAGAATTAAAAAAATCTAATTATTATTAATTTTCAGTTTTATATAAAATTAAAAACTTTTTAAATAAATTATAAAATTAAATATTAAAAAATGGTGAGTAATTGTCCTAAACGTGTATAATCACTAAAATAATTATCTATTTTTTAATATTTTATATTTTTAAATCCCTTCTTAAACGCAACAACAAATCCTATCTGGCTTCGGAATGCAAAGTATCTCCCTCTCAAATTTGTGTTTTCTTGCTATTTTATGGTTGATTTCCGAATAAATTTTCGTACTGGAACAAATCTGGAAAATATTTTTTCTTTTTTTCTTTTTTTAATAAAATCACTGTGGATACGGATGAGATACGTATCTTTGACGTATCAAAACGTATCCGTATCAGATACGTATCCGATACGGATACGGGATCAGATTTCACGTATCCGTGCTTCAGATGTATTTGTATCAAAATTTTATTGGAGGAATGGTTAATTAGATGTGACATCTTTTTAATTTTTGAATTTAAAGTACAAGTTGTGACAGCTTATCTTTAAATTCTTTCTCCAAAAAACAAAAATGTCCAACCAAAAAATTTTTTAAGATAATAATATTTATAGCAATAATTATAATTAAAATTTTATTGAATTGACTTTGATGTACACCTTAGTTAATTTTATATTTTTAGGGTGAATAAGCTGAGACAGTTCAAGAATCCTATATTTAACAAAAATAAAATTTAATCAACACACAAATATTTTCTATAAAGAACTAAGTGACTCTGATTCTTCATTACACATGAAGATACGTAGGAGTAAGAACTAAATCTTGTCGAGCCAAAAAATAAAAAATATATTATTTTCCTTTTTATATAATAATAATAATTTAATTAAATAAAATATATTTGATCATTTTAGTGAGATAAATATTTTATAAATTATAAATAATTAGTTTAATTAATTAAAGGTAATCGTCTTAGGATGAACGTTGTGAGGTGCTAATACCTTCCTCACACGTAATCGACTCCCGAACTCAAAAAAATTGGTTTTCGTAGACTATTTTCTATTTTATGATTTTTTCAATGTTTTTTCGTAAAAAATAACATTGGTGACGACTCCCTTTTTTTAAATTTATTTTTCGCCGTCCCATCGCGATCTCAGTTGCGATAGATGGCGACTCCACTGGGGATAATTTTGAGAGTCAAGCCTATAATAATTAGTTAAATTAATTAATAATTTTTTTAAAAAAATGTTTATCTCACTGTTATTTTTATTTTATTTTTTATTTATGTCCCTTATTTGTTGTTTGTCTTATTTGCATGAATTATATAAATATGTGTTGTGTAATTTGAACTTTAGGGTTGAAGAATTTTATTTTCTATATCATATGTGCTGTGTGTTTGTAGATTGGATAGTGTAGGATTGCTCCCTTCACACACTTCACTTGCACAAATTCACACACGTTTATGAGTGGGGTCCTACGCCCGGACTTGAGTGCAACTTAGGATAGTAAGAGGTTGAGTAATGGTAACCTTTTTGATGTACATCTTGTTTGGTTATTATGAAGGTCTCACCTAGAGTTTGATCATTTCAAGGGTATTATCACCTCTAATAGTTTACCTATTATTGTGACTAATATCCTAAGAATGGTTATTGGCTCTAGGAACCTGTTTTAGAACTATAGTTCCACCCTTTTGAGAGGAACACATATTAGTAGTCCATAGAATTCTCAACTTAGGGATGCCCTTATTAAGTATCACAGAAGCAATATTCTACCTCTACGTTCGAATGACGCAAAAAAAGAAAGAAAATTTTATTTCATTTCATAATACACATCATACATTTTTTTAACTTTTATCATATCTCACGTCTCTTCAATATAACACTCATCACAAAAAATTATTCATGCATGCATTCATTTACATTTTATAATTCATTCATGATATACATTCTACATCTTTGCATAAAAAATAATATTCTATGAAATCATTCATACAACTTTAAAAGATTGCAATTGTCATCATTATTGACACTTTTATTTTTTAAAGAAAATGAATAAAGTTCTCTCTTGCATAATTCAAAGTAAGATCATCATTTCATTTGAGTATTTAGTCTAAAATGTATCTCATAACATTCAATATTTTCATAATTTTTCATGACATTCACGCATAAACATTATTTAGATTAAGTAATCATGTTAGATATATTCATTAGGCATATTCGTCGTCTTTTCTTTTCATTCTCCATGATTGCATTCATTCTCATTTTATCCTCACGAATCAAATTCATTTGTTTCTCTATAAAAAAACAAAAAAACAAAAAAACAATTTTTTTTTTTTCAAATTCTTCATTCCAACATTTTTCTTTTATACATGCATTTCATAGTAAAATTGATTGCTTATTCATGTCATTTTAAAAAATAACTATCTAATTTGATTATTTTCTTTTAAAGAGGATACCAAGCAACAAATTTATGCAGTGTCTAAAAAAAATAGGAAAACAAAGAAAATGGGAAATAACATGAAATTTTTCATGGATCACATTCAAATCCTCTCAAAATTACCATTTTTCTTTCTTTCTGAAAAGCCCTCTGAAAAAGAAAAAAAAAATTCTTTTTTCGCTGTCAACTCCCAAAACCACACCAATGCTTCTCACAGTTTCACGAACTGGGTTCACTACACCCCAGCTTCATACACACTTGTCAAATACTCTGCAATCATCTGATCGAATTTCCTTGCATCATGGACCATAGTGTTCATCCTTTTCTGGTGCATAGTTATCTCTTCTCAGTTTCTATATTCAAATTTTGACTTAATTCTTATTTGTATTCAAACTTTCAGCACTTGTATATTCTGGACTGAATAATGGGTTGCATACTATTCTATGTTTAGCTTAGCATGCTGGTTTAACATGGTGTTGGTGGAAGGATGAGTGGGACATCGGTCCTTAGCCAAACCCATCTTTTGTCACTGCCAAATAATCCACCTCAAAGCTCTGAATTGAATTCAAAGTTCAATGATAAGGGATGGTTGTCTTTGCTTAAGAGATGCAAGAGCATGGAAGAGTTTAAGCAAGTTCATGCCCAAATTCTAAAATTGGGCCTTTTCTTGGATTCTTTCTGTGGTAGCAATCTTGTTGCCACATGTGCTCTTTCAAAATGGGGCAGCATGGAGTATGCTTGCTCTATCTTTAGGCAAATTGAGGAACCGGGCAGCTTTGAGTACAACACCATGATTAGAGGAAGTGTCAATAACGTGAATCTAGAAGAAGCCTTGTTTCTTTATGTTGAAATGCTTGAAAGAGGCATTGAACCTGACAAGTTCACCTACCCGTTTGTATTCAAGGCATGTTCTCTATTAGGTGCTCTCAAGGAAGGAGTGCAAATTCATGGCCACATTTTTAAGGCTGGTCTTGATGGTGATACCTTTGTGCAAAACAGCTTGATCAGCATGTATGGCAAGTGTAGGGCAATAAAGCATGCTTATGCTGTGTTTGAGCAAATGGACGAAAGGAGTGTGGCTTCATGGAGTGCCATCATTGGTGCCCATGCTAGTGTGGAGATGTGGCAAGAGTGCTTGATGCTTCTTGGGGACATGAGCAGTGAGGGGCGGCATAGGGCTGAAGAGAGCATTCTAGTTAGTGCTCTTTCTGCTTGCACCCATTTGGGGTCTCCCATTCTTGGAAGGTGCATACATGGGATCTTGTTGAGGAACATTAGTAAACTCAATGTTGTTGTGAAGACTTCATTAATTGACATGTATGTCAAGTGTGGTTGCCTTGAGAAAGGGCTCAGTGTGTTCCAAAATATGGCTGAGAAGAACAGGTTTTCTTACACAGTAATGATCGCGGGGCTTGCCATTCATGGGCGTGGTAGGGAAGCTCTAAGAGTTTTCTCTGACATGCTGGAAGAAGGTTTGGCACCAGATGATGTTGTCTATGTGGGTGTGTTGAGTGCTTGCAGCCATGCTGGTCTTGTCAATGAGGGTCTACAATGTTTCAATCGCATGAGATTTGAACACAAGATCAAACCAACAGTTCAACACTACGGTTGCATGGTGGATCTTATGGGGAGAGCAGGGATGCTCAGGGAAGCCTATGACCTCATAAAGAGAATGCCAATTAAGCCTAATGACGTGGTTTGGAGGAGCCTTCTTAGTGCTTGTAAGGTTCACCTTAACTTGGAAATAGGGGTGATTGCAGCTGAGAATCTTTTCAAGTTGAATCAACACAACCCCGGGGACTATTTGATGCTAGCAAATATGTTTGCAAAAGCCAAAAAATGGGATGATGTGGCTAGGATCAGAACAGAAATGGCTGAAAAACACTTGGTGCAAATGCAAATACTTGGTTTTAGTTTGGTTGAAGCAAATAGGAAGTTGTACAAGTTTGTTTCACAGGACAAGTCTAAACCACAATGTGACATCATTTATGATATGATTCACCAAATGGAATGGCAGTTGAAATTTGAAGGCTATACACCAGACATGTCACAAGTGTTGCTTGATGTGAATGAAGAAGAAAAGAGGGAGAGATTGAAATATCATAGTCAGAAGTTGGCAATTGCTTTTGCACTAATACAGACATCTGAGGGTTCTCCCATAAGAATATCAAGAAATCTAAAGATGTGTAGCGACTGTCATACGTACACTAAGTTCATTTCCATGATCTATGAACGGGAAATCACTGTAAGAGACCGTAATCGCTTCCACCATTTTAAAGATGGAACTTGCTCATGTAAAGATTATTGGTGAATTTCATTACATTTATGCTTAAAGGATTCTTATAGGGATAGTATTTTTACTTCTTGACATTTCCCACACATATTTGTTATTCGAGTAAATAGATAACTAATTGACATATGATTGGGACATTGTGGTATCTTGAGCATCTTTTTTTCTACCAATGATATTGTTATCCATAGCACACAAGCAACTCAAGAAAAAAGGTTTTGGTTAAATCGTTTGACATTTTCCATTTACTTGTTATAGAAATTGTAAGTACATCCTAATAAGAATAAGCAAAGATGTTGCAAGTGAGTAGATAAATTTGACTTAACTTTTGTTTTCTTTAGGCTATAGAAGACAGCAACAGAAATTCTTGGTTTTTAGAAACATGGCAAATGAAGGAAAAACACCTTTCTCATTGTACTGTTTTCAATTTTTTTGCTTCCCACCCCACAAATAACAATACCGCGTTGGATTTAATAGAAACCACTTTGTTTATGACTCTGGATGATACAAATACTCAGAATTTTTTAATCTTTTATATTATTATTATTATACATTCAAAAAAGAAGTTTGTATTCATGCATGAGTCTAGAGTGTTTATCTTTCTTTGTGGACTTGATAAGAATTCCTAGTACTGAATGAAACGTAGAAGAGTATTTGATGTTTTTACATATTCATAAAAGATCTCAAATTTTCAAATAATATCTAAAATATTATTTAGATTTAAAATATATTATTTTTCCTTAAAAGTATTGAATGAAATTAAAATATATTATATTTATTTTATAAATTTGTTTCATCTTTTAAATTTAAAATGTTAGGTCAATATATAAATTATTGACATGATTAAAGATCATCTACCTTTAAAGGAGGTCACTATCGTAAATGAATAATGATTTATATAAGAGAAGATTTATCAAGTTTCATCATAAAATTTGTATCGAAAGCTTTCAAGTTTCATCTGTCATAAAATAACTTATGAGGAAGGTATACCAAGTATTTTATAAAATTTGTATCTAAGAGTTTTCAAGTTTTATAAAATTTATTTAGAGGGTTTTCAACTTTTAATATGAAGAAAGATCTCTAAAAAAAAGTTGTAATACATATTGAGATAAATGAATATTCTATGAGATCGAATTATGTTGAATAAATTTTGTATAATTTTTTATAATATTTTTGTGTATTGTATTGTCGTAGATAAAGAAAATGAGATTTTTTTTATTCTCCAACCCTAAAAAAATATGAGTAATTGAATTTTTTTTCTAACGTGTTAAGCTATTTAACAAATATAATCAAGAAATACAAAAAATTCTCAGAAAAATCTAGGCATATCAAAATACATGTAATCTTTTACTTGAATAAATATCATAATCAACACATTCAATCTTATATAATAAAGTTTTCATTAATAATAAAGTTTTTAAATATTATTTAATAATTTATTATATAGTCATTAATAATTTAATTGTTTATCTAAATCACATTCAATTATAATATAAAAGCTATGTATATGTGTGACTGGTTATTAACATAACAAGTGGTGGAACTTGGTGATTATTCAATATTTACATGGAGTATTTATTAAATATGTTGTAACCATCGATACTTTTATGCTATAAGAAACTATGAATATGGAATGATTATTGTAAAACATTTGAGTATTACTTATGCCTTTTAACATATATACAATATCTATTATTTTGCTGTTTAAATTATTTTAATTGTAATTAATATTGTTTGTCTATAAAATCATTCAAAATTTTTACATTTTTTCTTTTCAAACCACTAAGTGACATATCATTATCTACAAAATTAAATACATTATCATTACATATATTTAATAAGTTCATGTCATTTATATGAAAAATAATATTAAAAAATTAACAGAATATAAAAAGAAAAAAAATATATTATTAAAAATATATTTTAAATTATAGAAATAAAAAATAAAGCCAATAAAATTATGAGGATTACGAACTATATTTTAACAAATCTTCTTTTCACTACTGTAGTGAACTTAGTAATAAGAATTAGAATCATATCCACACAATCTTAAAATTTGAAATAAGTTCAAACTTGAATTTCAGTGGGAAACTTAGCCTTGATGCTAGTAATGGAAATACTGAGGTTTACATGAATGGTCGAGAGATCACAAAACTTGAATTGAGGGTACTCAAGGTAGGCTTTTATCTTTGTTTAAATTTTTAACCATTTATATAATACTAAATTTAGCTGCAATTTGTTGGATTATGCTGTCAGAGGTAGGAGTGAAATGGAAAGAGTGGGGTGTGCCACCAGATAATATCTACCAGGCTTCAGCTTACGTGGAGGTAAGGGGCATCCGAGTAATTCTGCCATCTCATCAGGCTTCAGGGGCAAACCATTGACAATCAGCTGCTCTGGCCGAAGCTGATTAGCAGAACATTCTTTCTCTGCTTTCATAATTTGCTTGACTTCTAGAGGACTTAACAGTCGAGACAACACCCTTGAATATTTACCCAATTTCAGTCGCTTTGATTCATCAATTGGCTGACCAATGCATGTTACACATTTGCGTCCTTCAGGCATTGATCCCATTGCCCTAAGCACACAGTTGCTGCAATACTTGGCATTACAAACTATGCAAGATTCCTTAGTTTCCCACTTCCCCTTTCCACACCTATAACAAACTCTTAAATTCTTTTTCTTCCTTTCCTTCAAAACTCCAACGTATTCCGAATAAACTGGCTTCACAACCTCTACCTCTTTCCTCTGAGATCTATCGACAGTATTGAAAGTGACAACCGGTGCCCTCTTTGCTTCGTTAACCACCGGCTTAGGAGGATTGCTTGGAGGATTATGAACTGAAGCAGGCGAAGCCGAAGGTGAAGCGGAAGAAAGATCCGGGTTTTGCAGGACAGAAACCACAGAATCTGAACTTCCAGACACCCTCGGACTCTGATTAGGAGAACTCGTTACACCGGCAATACGAGACACTGGCAGAGGGATTGGTTCAATCACCATAGACCCTGCATGAGTATTTGATCTTTGTGATGCAGAGAGTGGTTCGGCAGTGGGAATTGCTCTTGAGTTTGCATCAAGTGGCTCAACTCTTGGCACATCATATGAAACTGGTGGACCAACATATTCCATAGCTATGGAGTAGTCAAGATTAGAAGCATCAGCAGGTATAGCAGCACCAGGAGGAAGCATCTTCTTCACTAATTCCCTCCAGCTCTCTCCCCTATTTTGATCCATATCTTGGTAATACTAATCACAAACACCCCTTGAACTTCAAACTATAACTTCCTCAATCTTCAGCATCAGATATATAACTATAACACCTTTTTGTTCTCTCTTAATTAACACATCCCAAGATCCTTGTAACTAGATAGCAACCAACAAATATCTTCAGGGAAAAAAAAAAAAAGAGGTTGAATTATGTTACAATATAGAGGGGTATTAGGAGTTTTGGCTTTGCTTATAGAGAATCAGTCATTGTTCAAAATACGAACAACAGGCTGCTGTTGTTTCCCAAAGATCAGAAGATTTTGGAAATGATAAAATATTATTAAATCATAACTGAAAAGGATAATAACAAAACACCTGTCACCTAATTGAGGCTCATACTACATTGCTAAAAAAAAATTTCCAATCTTTGAATGACACGTTAGGACAATAATCAAACATTTTTAACAAGTCTATAGTTGTGGTCTGATGATCCCTTTTAATCTTTGACGAGTGTATGTTTAGGACTTGATAGTTAGTCAAAGAATAATATGTGAACATTTTCTATGAACTCACGTGGATGGAAGGTTTCACAAACCATCTGAATCCTTCGTCATTTAGGCCTGCAAATGAGTTTTACCAAGGGTTAGGCTTCCTTAGATGAGTTATTTTAATTATATCACATGTAAAAGTTGGTTACAAAGTTTGCATGAACACTTTATTATAAAATAAAAGTCTAGTAATAAAACTCCGAGTAAACACTTTTTTTTATTATTAGTCTATTCCACTTTGCCACTTTAACATTCCACATTATTCAATAAAAAAAATACGAATTAATAAATTTTTTTGAGGGGTAGAAAGAACAAAACTTACGATGAAAAAGAAACGAAAAGCCCACCTTTTCACCATGATCAATAAATTCCACGCTCAAGTTGGAAGCCTTTCATTCCACATGGGAGTGGGACAGGAGGAATATTAATTTAGTTTACTAAAACCACTTTCCACAACTTTGAATTGTTAATCGTAGATATTTTGTTTTTTTGGTGAAAAAAAAAATAGTAGATGGGAGTTAGAGGAGCTAGTTCTCTTTAATTAATGCATTAAATTAATTTAGGATTCCTCGGTCAAATTGTTGGATTACAATTTAATTTATCCGAAGAATTGTTACCATATAACTAAAACATTTTAATTTAATGCATTTCGGCTATGTTTGTTTTATTACCATATGATTATGATATATTGATTTGGAAATTTATTAGGATGATAGATTTATTTATTTTTTAAATCAGTATACTATCTGATGAACATATGACAAATGATGATTTATTGCATGAGCATGTAAATGTGGAATTTAAAATCACCACAAGAAATTAAACTTTTAATCTGGATAGTGACTAGAAGAATCCTCTCCATCAGGCAACAGTAGATTAATAAAGGATTTCAATGCCTTCTTTCAGGTGAGGGTTGTGATTTCCTAGCCCAAGAACATCTTTTGATCAAATAGCCAATGTTTAAATTCATAGGCTGATCACTAGAAATCGTTTAGACATTGTTTGTGGAGTCAATAGTTGAAACAGACAAGCTTTGGTCAAAGCTGAAAGAGTCTAAGACTACTCTTGCCTTTGCTATCTCTACCAACCAAGAGGTTCATGCTGAAAATCAAAAGATTGAAGTTGATTGTCAAAGACTTCTAAAGTTGGTTGATAACTTGAAAGATCAAGGCAAGGAGTCAAACGATGCTAAGGCCAAGTTAACTGAAGAATTTGTAAAGCTTCTTGAGTCTTTAACTATTGAGAAGGATAATGTTGTTGCCACCATATGAAGCTTACAAGGCTAAGGCTGAAGATAAAATTTATAAAGAACACGAAGGGAGCTTTCATATTGTACGTCAGGTTAAGCATTTTTTGAAAGTCTCCCAAAGCTTCCAATTTGATCTTAGGAAAAAAATTTATAAGGGGGACTTTCTTGACTTGGATGATATTCAAATAAACTCATTCAACGAGTTTTACATTTGTATCTGAATAGGGGCACACGAGTAATTTTATTGCTTTATATGCATTCTTAATCTTCTGCCACCAAGTCTTCGTACTTCAATTCTTTGACTATTGACCTTCCTATTATTGTCCTCGATTGTAGTTATTCAAAGGGCTAAATGTCTTCAATCCTACTCAAATAAGTCTTCGATCTCAGTTAAGTCAACCCAATTAATATAATAATAAATGTGATTTAAAAGTATCTTCATCTCTTTAATACATCATTATTTATACTAACTTTATTGATCCATGCCTTAATGGTAGGTCCAATAACTATCTGATTACCTTTGATTAGTGCTTCTACTACATTCTTAAAATATTTATTCACATAATTTTTAGCAGATATTTGAGAAATTTTTGATTTTATCCTTTGACTAAATCTTACAAGCATACACATGGCGAGACATGAGAGGTCTTCTAACTTGTGAAGAGAATCAGGTGGGACCAACCCTTTCCCAAAACATTAGGCTATTGTTATTGTGCCAGTTTGTTTGAAAGGGTTTTGATGCCCTTCTATATCAGCAAATCAGATGTTGACACGTATGTATAATAAGCTGAGTCATGGTCAATTCTCTCATAATCGGTCAAGGGGCAATTTTAGAATTTTACTTGGAATAGTACCTACGATCTCCACTTCCACCTTTCCCTCACGACTGCAAAGGGTACTTCCTCGACCCCTCGCTTCTTCGATCCCGTCCCGTTTGAAACACCGCTGGCCATCGCCACCGCCCCTACCGCCGACCTAGTCACCCTCACCGTCGGCACAGGCGACAGTTGGCTGATACCACCGACATCTAATTCGGTAAGGTAGAAGCCAGCTGCGTAGCAGCCCGCGGAGGCGCCACCACCGCCTCTTTCTCTAGCGATCCAAAGCTTCCAAGAACGAATCCCATGGAGAAAAACCCCAGCAGCAATAACACGCGTGTGGGCTAGGAACCAGCGGCAGCAGCGACGAAACAGGCACGCCGTGGAAGGATCTATCGCTGATACCCAGTCTCAGGGCCCGTCCGTAGGACGGGAAGCTTCTCTTGCTGGACCCATCTAGGGACGGAAAAATTGACGTAGGAGAAGGAGAGTTCCTTGTCCTAGGTCGACGGCGAAGGCGATAGCGGTGGCCACACACAGCTAACCAGTTGCATCACTTGCTTCATCGGAGAAGAAGACAGATTTGTCGGACAAGATGAGAGATTCGTCGGAGAAGAAGACACATTTGTCAAACAAGATAAGGATGTCCCAAGTGAAATTTCAAAATTACCCTTTGATCCATTTTGAGAGAACTGAGCATGACTCACACCACACGTGTTAACATCTGATTTACTGATGTGAGAAGGGGCATCCAAACCAAAATATTATCCTATCCAGAAATTCAATGTTCGATAATGTAACGTTGCTTTTTTGTGGCCGCAAATGCTCTCTCAAGTTGTATGGATCACATTCAAATCCTCTCAAAATTACCATTTTTCTTTCTTTCTGAAAAGCCCTCTGAAAAAGAAAAAAAGAAAAAAAAATCTTTTTTCGCTGTCAACTCCCAAAACCACACCAATGCTTCTCACAGTTTCACGAACTGGGTTCACTACACCCCAGCTTCATACACACTTGTCAAATACTCTGCAGTCATCTGATCAAATTTCCTTGCATCATGGACCATAGTGTTCATCCTTTTCTAGTGCATAGCTATCTCTTCTCAGTTTCTATATTCAAATTTTGACTTAATTCTTATTTGTATTCAAACTTTCAGCACTTGTATATTCTGGACTGAATAATGGGTTGCATACTATTCTATGTTTAGCTTAGCATGCTGGTTTAACATGGTGTTGGTGGAAGGATGAGTGGGACATCGGTCCTTAGCCAAACCCATCTTTTGTCACTGCCAAATAATCCACCTCAAAGCTCTGAATTGAATTCAAAGTTCAATGATAAGGGATGGTTGTCTTTGCTTAAGAGATGCAAGTGCATGGAAGAGTTTAAGCAAGTTCATGCCCAAATTCTAAAATTGGGCCTTTTCTTGGATTCTTTCTGTGGTAGCAATCTTGTTGCCACATGTGCTCTTTCAAAATGGGGCAGCATGGAGTATGCTTGCTCTATCTTTAGGCAAATTGAGGAACCGGGTAGCTTTGAGTACAACACCATGATTAGAGGAAGTGTCAATAACATGAATCTAGAAGAAGCCTTGTTTCTTTATGTTGAAATGCTTGAAAGAGGCATTGAACCTGACAAGTTCACCTACCCGTTTGTATTCAAGGCATGTTCTCTATTAGGTGCTCTCAAGGAAGGAGTGCAAATTCATGGCCACATTTTTAAGGCTGGTCTTGATGGTGATACCTTTGTGCAAAACAGCTTGATCAGCATGTATGGCAAGTGTGGGGCAATAAAGCATGCTTATGCTGTGTTTGAGCAAATGGACGAAAGGAGTGTGGCTTCATGGAGTGCCATCATTGGTGCCCATGCTAGTGTGGAGATGTGGCAAGAGTGCTTGATGCTTCTTGGGGACATGAGCAGTGAGGGGCGGCATAGGGCTGAAGAGAGCATTCTAGTTAGTGCTCTTTCTGCTTGCACCCATTTGGGGTCTCCTATTCTTGGAAGGTGCATACATGGGATCTTGTTGAGGAACATTAGTGAACTCAATGTTGTTGTGAAGACTTCATTAATTGACATGTATGTCAAGTGTGGTTGCCTTGAGAAAGGGCTTAGTGTGTTCCAAAATATGGCTGAGAAGAACAGGTTTTCTTACACAGTAATGATCGCGGGGCTTGCCATTCATGGGCGTGGTAGGGAAGCTCTAAGAGTTTTCTCTGACATGATGGAAGAAGGTTTGGCACCAGATGATGTTGTCTATGTGGGTGTGTTGAGTGCTTGCAGCCATGCTGGTCTTGTCAATGAGGGTCTACAATTTTTCAATCGCATGAGATTTGAACACAAGATCAAACCAACAGTTCAGCACTACGGTTGCATGGTGGATCTTATGGGGAGAGTAGGGATGCTCAGGGAAGCCTATGACCTCATAAAGAGAGTGCCAATTAAGCCTAATGATGTGGTTTGGAGGAGCCTTCTTAGTGCTTGTAAGGTTCACCTTAACTTGGAAATAGGGGTGATTGCAGCTAAGAATCTTTTCAAGTTGAATCAGCACAACCCCGGGGACTATTTGATGCTAGCAAATATGTTTGCAAGAGCCAAAAAATGGAATGATGTGGCTAGGATCAGAACAAAAATGGCTGAAAAACACTTGGTGCAACTGCAAACACCTGGTTTTAGTTTGGTTGAAGCAAATAGGAAGGTGTACAAATTTGTTTCACAGGACAAGTCTAAACCACAATGTGACACCATCTATGATATGATTCACCAAATGGAATGGCAGTTGAAATTTGAAGGCTATACACCAGACATGTCACAAGTTTTGCTTGATGTGAATGAAGAAGAAAAGAGGGAGAGATTGAAATATCATAGTCAGAAGTTGGCAATTGCTTTTGCACTTATACAGACTTCTGAGGGTTCTCCCATAAGAATATCAAGAAATCTAAAGATGTGTAGCGATTGTCATACGTACACTAAGTTCATTTCCATGATCTATGAACGGGAAATCACTGTAAGAGACCGTAATCGCTTCCACCATTTTAAAGATGGAACTTTCTGATGTAAAGATTATTGGTGAATTTCATTAGATTTATGCTTAAAGGATTCTTACAGGGATAGTATTTTTACTGTCTTGACATTTCCCACACATATTTGTTATTAGAATATATAGATAACTAATTGACATATAATTGGGACATTGTGGTATCTTGAGCATCTCTTTTTCTACCAATAATATTGTTATCCACAGCACACAAGCAAGTCAAGAAAAAAGGTTTTGGTTAAATCGTTTGACATATTCCATTTATTTGTTATAGAAATTGTAGGTACATCTTGATTTTTTTTTTAAAGATAAGAAAGATTACAAAGATGGTTACAATAAGAATTGAACTTAGGTCCTCGTGTTTCTAACTACTTAAATCCCTCCCCACCCAACCACTAGGTTAATCCTAGTGGTCACTTATAAGTGTACGATTGAATATTAGTTTAAAAATCAACGACAAATACATGTTTTAATATTAAAAAAAAAAAACTTTGAGTGTAGTTTTTTTTTTTTTTTTTTTTTTTTTTAACTCCAATTGAGTTAAATTTAACTAATTTTTAAACACACCTTAAATAGTTACAACTTACACCATATCACATTGTTGTAACTCTTACGTATCAACAGAATTACTTAAATCTGATGCCTAACTTCTCATGACTCATTATCACATCTTTGTAACTCCTATGCATTAACAGGTTTTTCTTTTTTAAAATGTGGCAGGTTCATTGGTTATGAAGGAATCTCCAGCATTTAGTAATTAGTAGTTACAGATCACAGTCTCTGTTTCTAAAGCTAACGGATTATGGATTCGTTGGTAAACCAAAATATTGAACATTTTTATTCGATAACCTCAGAATTGATATTCAATAAATGAATTATGCTCCCCACTTTATTTGATTGAAACTTGAAGAGATTTGCAGTCAGAGGTGACTGCAAAAAACAAATATTCAAGCTGATGTAAGACAAAAATATTGCCATCACTTGCAGATGCAGTATGTTAAAAGAAAAAATAAAGTTAAACCTTCCAGAGTGTACAAATTTCAAGATTTCTCATTGCAGAACCACGACTGGAATCACTCTCTCTGTCTCCTAAAGTATCTAATGAGAAGACATCCCAACCACCATCCCTCCAATAAGAGGAATAAACTGCTGGAACATGTTGCACTCTCCAATAATCCGCACCTCCACTTGGACTCAGTGCTGTAATCAATTCATCAGGCATATCAAAAAACTCTATTGATTTCAGTTTGATCAGGTGCTCAACGCCTAATGGTACCTGCTTGAATGAACTACAGCGCTGGATGATGAGCTTTTTAAGGCCAGGCATTGCTCCCTCCTCCACGGTCATAGATTTCAGTCCATTTAAATCATCAAGGCCTAACACCTTCAGACTAGGAAACCCTTTAGCCTTGAAATGCAGTGTCTCACCAACATAAACTTGAAGAAACTCAAGGTGTCTTAGATTTGGCAAATCCTGAAGATGCACCAGAGGATCCTCCTTTAACTGGCTCCATTTGAGAAACACTCGAACCAGATTCTTGAGAGAACTTATCCAGTGAGGAAACTTGTCCAAACGTCCACTCAAGTATAACTTCTGGAGATACTGAGGAGGCCTGGAAATGTTGTGAATATCAATGATCTCATCATATTCAATTGCAGTTATGGACAATGAGAGGAGATTGACCATCTTCTCAATGGAAGAACACAAAGCAGCCCCATCTTGTTGCCTCATCCTTCTAATTCCAAGCCTCCTTAGTTGAGTGAGTTTTCCTAGCTCAATCATCAAAGCTTGGTCTGCCTGTATAAAACATAGTTTCTGCAAAGATTGCATTTTTCCTATTGGTGCAGCCAACTTGAAGCCATGCCTTGAATGGAAAAAAGCATAGGATTCAATCTCATAAAAGTACACCAAGAGATGGCGTAGCCGTTGCAGCTCCACAATTTCAACTGGCAATTCAGTGACATAGGAGTGTTTAAGATCCAATGTCTCCAACTGCTGCAGCTTCTTAATGGAACCTGGAATGTTTCTTACCTTTGTATTCTTCAAACTGAGATATTTGAGAAGGTAAAGGCTGACAATTTCAG